TGTTCCGGTTTTCATTCTACTGTGAATACTTACTGAGAAAGCGAAGTGCACAATGTGTTTTGGTGAATTAAAAAATAGACAATATACTGTACTATATAATGTAACTACAACTATTGCTACAAAAAATAAGAATAATGTAGTAGTAGTAGTATTTTAATAGCCTGAACATGTTTCTTTTTCTCCTTTGGCTGCCACAGGGCCACCCATCAGGGAAGCTTCCTAACCTATCTGAGAAGATAAACTCCAGCAGCTCTCCACCCACAGGTACCCCTAAATCCCAAAGTGGAACTCCACGCCCAGCCTCTGTAGGAGTTGGAGGCCCACTGCATCCTGCAGGGACACCGTCATCAACAGGACACTCCGATAATGAATCCTCTCAGACCAGACCTGGCGGAGCCTCCAGCAATAACAGCATTGTTGCCCATAGGTCAGAGGGAGGAGGCATGGCCACACCTGCGGTCCCAGTCACAGGAAATGGAGATAGAGAGGGTGCAGGGGGTATGACTCTTCCTGTTGCTACTGTTTCCCCCTCAGGGAGTCCCTCAATCCTATCTGCACACCTACAGAGTGATGCAGGCCAGAGGAGTGGCCCAGGGAACACAGATGGTCTTTCCAAAGAGCAGCTGGAACACAGGGAGCGCTCTTTACAGACACTGAGAGACATAGAGAGGCTGCTTCTACGCAGTGGGGCAAGTGGAGGCAATGTAGACACAGGAGGCTCCAACAACAATGCTAGTAATAACTCCTCCAACCTAAATAATAACAACAATACTGATAGGAGTGGTATTCATGACGACAGTGACAGTGGTACTAATAACTGTGGAAATTGCAGTAGCAGTAATATGCTATCGTCAGCCTTGGCTCCGATGGGTGGGATGAAGAAATATGAAGAACCCCTTCAGTCCATAATTTCTCAGACACAGTCCCTTGGTGGACCTGCCCTTGAAAGCCCTCAAATGGACTCTCACCATAACCTACCACAACACCCTCATCACCAGCTGTCTTCACCTGTGGTTGACATGGGTCACTTACTTGGACCAGACGGGCTGACCCCAGAGCAAATGGCGTGGAGGAAACTTCAAGAAGAATACTACCTAGAGAAGAGACGACAACAAGATATGCAACCCCCCACACATCCCCAGCACTTTAGAATGATGACTGAGATGAGCATGCATGGCGGTCCCATGATGATGAGAGGACCCCCTCCTCCCTACCACAGCAAGCCTGGAGACCAGCAGTGGGGTCCTGGCAATATGATGGGCGGAGGAATGGGTGGAAATGCACGAATGATAGACATGCATCAAGAGGGACCCCGTGGCCCAAGGTTCCTGGGACAGATGCAAAGAGGGCCACCTGGCGGAGGGGGTTTTCCTGGTAGTACAGGCGGTGTTTTATCAGTGGAGGGTCTAGGAGCCCAAAGGCCCACCAGGCCAGGAATGATTTGGCTAGATGATATGCCCAACAACATAGGTGGTGGAGGTCCTTTTCATGGTTGCTACCCCAGTGGACCTCCTCAGCACTTGCAAGGTGACCCAGAGCATCTGTTAACACGTGAGGAAATGTTTCGCATCATGGAGAAACGGCAGATGCAGGGGCTTCCTAGGTTTGAACATGACAGATTAGGTAAACAGCAGCAGCAGGGCAACCTTGGTTCAAGAATTATGGATAATCCTGGGGGCCCAGACTTTCCCAATTTGGGAATGGGTAGGGGTCCACCCTCCACTCGAGGTGATCCTATGGATTTTCCTGGCTCAAGGGATATTATGGGTTCTCCTGGAGGGGGTCCTCAGATGAGAGACTTGGTGGATTCTCCTCTGGGGAGCCACCTCACATTGAACATGAACCAGATGAATGTTCAGCAACAACAGCAGATGATGCTATCTCAGAAGCTCCGAGGAGGTCCTTCTGGAGGGGGGCCTTTGGGTGAGATGTTTAGCCCAGGAGAGATTTCACGAATCAGGGCTTCACACAATGGAAGAGGAGTAAGTAAGGGAATGATCCCAGTACCTGATGGCCCCTTCCAGTTTCCTAATCAAGGTCCCTTCTCTGGAGGACAGTTGGAAAGGTCCTATCTTCAACAGTCTGGCCCTGAGATGTTTGGGCCTGACCAAGGTCCTAATCAAATGGGAAGTACATCACGGCTTAGTCATATGCCAATGACTGGAAGCCTCAGGGGACCAGACCTCGGTCCTAGGCACTCCTCTGACCTGTCAATCAATGTTAACCCTCTACCGTCTCCTTCCGTGCTTCCTCCTCATCAGCTCAAATCTCCATCCCTCAACCAAGAGCCATCTCCTCTTCTACCTTCCCCCTCTGCTCCTGGACTGAAGTCACCCTCACAGATCTCATCTGCAGGGCATCACCCCCCTCTTCCCCCTACTTCTGGTGCTGGGACTCCTTCCTCTTCTTCCATGAAGTCTCCCCAGGTAATGGGGTCTTCCAACCTTGTGTTGCACTCTCCATCTGCCTCTCCTGGACGACTCAAGTCCCCAGCCATGGCTGTGGGCTCTCCGGGGTGGGCGTCTCCTAAAACAGCTCTTCCAAGTCCAGGTGGTCCAACCAGTGGGAAGGTAGTAGGCAACGGAGGAAGTAGTTCTACTGAGACAGGTACACTCAGAAGATAAAATCATCTTAGCTCATCATTAATTCTGTTCTTTTACTGCTATGACATTAATGTATTTTTTGTATTCTTTGCAGGCCAGTCACTTCCCCCAAGAAGTTCCAGCTCTACTCCAATTAGCCAGCCAGGATCTATGAATCCTAGTATGCCATTCACTTCCTCCCCTGATGCCCCTCCATCTCAGAATCCTTTATCTCTCATCATGTCTCAGATGTCAAAGTATGCCATGCCCAGTTCTACTCCTCTCTACCACGATGCAATCAAAACAATTGCCACTTCCGATGATGAGATGCTGCCAGATCGACCGCTTCTATCTGGTGTCAGCATTGGAGGTATGTAAACAACAAACACCTTATACAGTTCGGCAGAATGCAAAAAGGAAGTAGTAGAATGGCTCCGGTTCAGTGATATCCCATTGCTATCGGTGAATAAATGAAGTTTGTTAATTTTTAGATCTATGTTGCTTTGCCTATGAAAAACCTCTCAGCCTAAACCCTCATATTAAAGTAGTGCTATTTGAAAATATTAATAGATGTCCAATTAACATTCTTACCTTCTTTTGTCACCAGGAAACATGGGGAACCCCCAGACCTCCCAGATACTTGTCTCCCAGGGCTCCATTGGTCCCCACAGTGATCCACAAAGCCCAATGGGTTTAGTAAGCCAAGGTCAGCAGCACCTATCCCATGATGCCTCAGGATCTGTGCTTTCTTCCCCAAACCACATGGGCATGCCTGTCATGAATTCTGCCATGATGGGAGTAGGTGCACCTGATGGGATGGGGCCCTGCAATGTCTCACCTATATCTCAGAACCAGATGGCTGGTTTTCCTCGCATCCAGCCACCACCACATGGGCCCATGCACTCACCTATTGGAGGAATGTCACAGAATTTCTCTCAGTCTAATGAAGATATTTTGCCACCTCAGCAATTACACATGCTTGGCAAAGGTCATCCTCACCAACGCCCCTCTCACCCCTCAGACTCATTTGCCTCTTTGCCCATGGGGGATGGCCCAGATCTAAGTGAAGTCATACGACCCACTCACACAGGGATCCCCGAGTTTGATCTCTCCCGCATCATTCCTTCTGACAAGCCCAGTAGCACTCTTCAATATTTTCCCAAGAGTGAGCCACATCAGAATCCACATCAGGGGCCACCATCCCAGCAGCCTACTCCACAGCAGCTCCTCAAACATCTGTCTTCTTCTGGCCCTCCCCACAGCAGCGGTCCTTCATCCAACCCCCACTTAGCAAACCTACAGAATATGATGGCTGAACAGCAGCTGCCACCTCACCCTTCACATGGTGGAATACGTCAAAGCATGGGCATTCATCAGGGGGGCACTAGGGGAATGGTTTCTACTGGTGGCATGGGCCCCATGTGTCCCCCTGGACATATGATGGGAAGGACAAGCATGGTGCCCCAGCAGCAACTCCAGCAACAGCAAGCCATGATGGCGAACAGCCTTCTTCACCATCCTTCCAATCCATACCCAGGCATGATGTCCTCCCAGCAGCACCCACACAATCTGATGGCACAGCAAAACATTATGATGATGCAGGCTAAGCAGCGAAGCATGTCAATTCCAGGGGATCCCTTTGGCCCCCAGGGTCCTTTAATGTCTCCTCAGGGACCCATGATGGCCCCTTCCCACCCACAGTCTGGTATGATGGGCCCCCAGTCTCTCAGACAGCGTGGAATGTCTTTGGACAGTCCCATTGGCTATGGCCCCGGAGGTATGGCCAATATGCCATTCTGAATCCAGCTCACATAAACTGTAAAAAAGAAAAAAAAAAAAAAAAAAAAAAAGGAAAACAATCCGGTCCACTAGGTTCTCATTGTTTCCAAGTTTTGTTATGTTATTCTTGCAGTTTGAAAGGAGTAACTGTAAAAATAATAAATCAGTGATACTCTTTAAACTTTGGATTACAACTGACTTGAAAAATGTAATATTTAAAAGCACTGCAACACAGTTCAATAACAAATCTCAAGCCATTTTCTAAAAATACTGTAAAATATGTATATTTCAAAGATGTGTGTATTTGTTGTGGGAACAGAGTGGCAGTCAGGAGAGGAGTGCCTCAAATTTCTATTTGTTTTAAAATCATAATGGTTTAATTTCATGCTAAGGGGTGTATATATATATATATATATGTGTGTGTGTGTGTGTGTATGTGTGTGCGTATTTATATATACATACATGCATGCACACACACTACACTTGCTGTATATAAGATGCAATTTGTGATTGTTTGCAGTTGTTCTGTATAACCGTTTTAATAGAAGTCTAAAAATAGAATAATATTGATCTCTAATGTGGTTTTGGTTATTGTGTTGTCCATCATTGTTGTGCAGTGACAAGGGGACACAGTTGATGTATGATATATGGAAAGCTTTATTTAAAATAAAAAAATAAATGAAATTCAGTTAACAGTTGCTAAAATACAAGCTAAAACAGATTTTGGCCAACAATAAAAAAAGATTTGACTGGGTAAATAAAACACATTTTAAATGCAATCAAAGTAGCAATGGGTACTGTATTGTAAGAACATCTAATCAAATTATAACATTTTCCATCAGTACAAACAAAATAGTGTAGAACAGCATAGAAGCATTTTAATTACAGCTGACACTGTGTAACAGTTTATTAGATGAGAATATTGCTGGTGGTTGTTGCTCCATCTGAAATGGAGGGGCGACTGTGACCCTGACCTCTGATGAAAGGCATACAAACACGGCCGCAGCCCAAATGACAAAGTAGCCGTATTAGCTCATTGCGAAACCGCATCCCAACAAAGGCATATAAGAAAGGGTTCAGGCAACAGTGTGAGAAACCCAGACTCTTTGTCACATCATAGGCTACTATCAGTTGACTGTAGGATCTGCAGCTGTTAAGTGTGAGAAATTTCAGGTCTACGATAGTTGTTACCACTAAGGTGACATTATATGGTAGCCAACAGAAGCAAAATACAAGAGTGACTAGTAAAGCCAGTCGAATTGCTCCTTGCTTTGCTTGGCTTTTCTGACTGTGGCACAAAGTTACAACCACTGCTGTGTAACAATAGCTCATGACAGCCAGAGGTAGGAAAAAGCACATATGATCAAATAATCTCATGGTCAAAACCCAGTTGTTTGCATGAATACCAAAATGATGATATGAGCAGGCACCCTTTATCTCGCTCAGAAACACAACATTGGGAATTGATAAACCTAGACAGACCAGCCATAATAAAATGCATGTTAGGTGAACTGTTCTCGGACGTCGACTTTGCATACTAGGTATAGCATGAACAATAGCCAAATACCGATCAAACCCAATGCAAGCTAAAAGGAAACTCCCACAAAGGAGGTTAAGATGTTTCATCACTTGTATCAGCTTGCAGAGAATCTCCCCGAACACCCAACCAATGGCACTGTCAACTGCTTCGAAAGGAAATGTAAAAAGGAGCATGAGGTCAGCCAGGGCAAGGTGCAGTAGGTAGATCTCAGTGATACGCAGGAGGTGCCGACGTCTCAGGAGGACTGTTATCATCAGGCCATTCCCTGCCACACCCAGCAGGAAGATCAAGCTATAAAGCACTGGCTTGAACACATCATAAAAGGTCTGGAGGCCCATCTCATTTTGAGGACAATCAAACTCTACTGTAGAATCGTCTGTATAGTTCTCGTAGTCTGTCAAGTTCACAGGTCCTTCGCTGCCTGACGGCTGTAAAAATATAGAACGGGGAAATGTTAATTTAATTTACCTCATCACAGTTCGAGAATCACTTTGTGTGCTGTGGAATATAACACAATTGTACACACTAGATTTGGCTGATATATAAAATAGTATTTCACAATGAAAAGAGAAATGAAATATTACATAAGCTTGAGTAGCTTTTTGTTATTTATTCTCTACGGTTTTCTGATTCATATTGTTAAGCAGGAAACACTGAATAGACCAGATGTTTTTCACTTCCCCATTATAATAACTAGGAGATGTTTTGGGGCAAAACATCCTATTTTAGCTGTAAATTAATGAATAAATAGTAATCACACTTCCCCCTAATCACTGAGTCTGTCTGGGACTACATGAAGAGAAATAAGTAACTGAGGCCGAATAGTAAACTAAATAGTATTAGCAGCAGCTACTCCCGTATATTCACGTAACTTGTCTGCATAATATAGAGTACATTTTTATTGATTTAGATATTTTCATGAAACTTTTCCTATATGTCAATTTCCATTCTTATAAACATAAATGTTAATTCACTGTAAATTCTGTTCCATGAAACAAAACTTTAAAGTTTAAATTATATAAACTAGTTTACATGAAATTTACATGTATTCAATAACCTGTTTTTATATCACAATGTTTTAACATGATTTTGTAATGTAATTTCCTCTACAATGATCAATTTCATTCATTTGAAAAAAAATTTCAAGCAATGTAGATAATCAGATAATAATTTGTGCTTAAGGACATGAAAATAATCACAGATATTGCATTAGTGTTCTGTTAAATTAAATTATTTTTACCCATTATATCAGTGACGATAAATTAATTGCAAGCTATTTGAAGCATGTTATTAGAAAAATGGAATATATCATGCTAGTGTACTCTCCTATCATTTTAAAACTTACAGTAGGATGTGTTACAGTAATTTTCTTCCTTGCTTATTTCCCTAGTGAGTCAAAAGGAAAGAAGCAGCAGACACCCAATGTAACTAAACCACATCTGTTTACAGTTCAGTAATTCAAGCCATTGTAGTTTATGAATTATGTTTCTCAACTTTGTAACAATTTAAACATTGTTGAATCATAGGAAGCAGCTACGTGTTGCTTGTAATCTTAAAATTTCTTGCTTTAAAATGCCAACATGATGCAGCTGAGATTTAGAAAATAGAAAATTTAAGAGTTATCCTATACTGACTTAAACAGTAGATTGTAGCTACTTAAACATGTCCAGTAGCAGTTAAAATTGTTTTTACTACAGACTAAATGACAGTAAGAATTTATTTTAAGGTTATAGAACAACAGACAAATTAAACACATATAGGTGCCACATTTGAATATCTAAAATTTAATTTAGAGCATAATGTGACTCGTTATATATACTGACAAAGACCCATCGGAGATAGTAGTCCTACAGAACATCTAAAGCAATTAACCATTCACTTCAACAATTAGTATGTCTTACCTCAAACACCAAGTATGTTATAGCCATTCCGGTGAATCTTGCTTGCTTGAATGTATAGCTTACACTGTCATAGAGAAATGTGCTTGTACTTCCTGTTAGTGCTTGTTCTTCTATATTTGTCTTGACTGATTTCTTTGTTGGGGGTGCGCTTGATGGAAACATGAAGTCAAAACAGTCAAAAGCTCCATTACCAGACTTTCAACAGTAAGCATGCAAGAGCACTCATGCAAGCCTAAGTAACTGCAGTCCACAATTTATTCTAGCTTTTGACAAGCATAAGGCAATTATACTGAATTGGTCAGACTTATTTGGGTATGCCTAGCAACAACCACACCCTTGCAAATCTTATCTGAATATAACATTCAGCCATGACATGGTTTGAATATGTGAACTGGTCATTCCTGAAAAAAAATCAGTGATATGACCTCTGGTTAAATGGTTAAAGGTTCAAAACAACTTTATATAGATATATATATATACGGCTGTATATGTTTCATAGGCCTACTGATTCCAGTGTTCCATCTGACCCATAGTGTCAATAAATCTGCTATTTCACTTTTTGAAAGCATTCCCATTATAAAACTACAAAAAAACAACCCCCCTAATTGTTCACATGTGCTTGATGCAGAGCTACTCTGCTGTTGAAAATATCGAAATGCTTTACCATTGTAATTTTTATGTAGGCCTTATAAGCCTAGTTATGGTATGATATGGAGCAGTTGAGTGATAAAGTACGTTTCTGTAATATTTATTATCTTGCAGCAATACAAACCCAGCCTACTTCAGCCAAATTGAGGTGTGGGTGCTGCACATGTAGGCACTGGGCCTATATTTCTTGTGGTTTTGCAAGAAATTTCACCTTCTTTTCTAGTCTAAGTAGTTGAATGTGCGTACATTTGAGTCAAGAGAACACAGACGGCACACAATACCGAGAAAGACACGGGCTCCACAGATGCAGTGGCCTGGATGTAGTAACTTTAGATATTCTGAAAGTATTATTTTGAGAGGACACCCTGGTAAGGTAAACCCTTGATTTGAAATGAAATCAGCTGATTAGTTAGATGGGGGCGGGTTCAAATACGACTGGAAGCCATCTTGAACGTTTGGTTGACAAGACTGTTTCGCAGTCAGCTAAAAATTGAGTACACCTCACTAACACCGCACAGGGAACCGGTTATTTCAGGCATTCAAGGTAAACGCATGCACATCTAATATATTTCTAATTATGGGTAGTTCTTCGCTAGATACTCCATTATTTCGTGGTGACTTTTACAATTAGCGCTAACTGTTAACGTTATTTCGTCATCGATTGCCAGTTAATGTTAGCTTGCTAGCAGACCTAGCACGGCAATCACCTCGGCTAAGTTAGCTAACTTAATATTGGCTGATGCTGGATATCTAGTTTTGTCTTAATGCGAACATTGGAAAGGTTGCAAATAACGTTATGTGTATTGGCGTTAAAACATATCGAGTGGGTTAAAACGGTCTGAATCCGGCATCGGAACGATGATTACCGAAACAGCACAACATTAGCATGAAGCTAAAGCTTCATGTGCTTGTTAGTCAGATGTCGGTGGCTAGCAGAAGGGTATTATAGTTTCTTCTAGTTGTTGGGTTAAACGGACATAAATTCCCCGTGTCAGTCAGGTATTTTCACACTAGACTTCTCGAGCGGCACAGTCTTGGGTAACCGTAACGTTACAGAAAATCTGCGGATGTGCTTGACTTTCAGTTTATCAACGCTGTTTCCATAGTCTTAGCAAGGGTTACCTCAATACTATTAACGTTACCATCCGCCGCTGTGTCGGCTAACTTTTGACGTTAGGCCAGTCATCTACAATTATCGATCCGCTAGTTATCGACTTGATAAGCGTCACCACCCTGCAAATACAGCATATTGTCTTTTGTCACACATCGTCATTCAATTGTAATGTGTTTTTGTCGTCTTTGCTAAATGTAACAATGTGTCTTGTATGTTTCAGGGTTGGAAAAACCAGAGAAAGGACGCAGCGGCTCAGTTAAGCGACACAAGATGGCTAGCTAAACAGTCGGCCAGTACTTGAAAGCTAGCTAAATTCTCCTGGTGTGTGATTTTCCAGATAACAATGGCACATCTATCCTAAGCCCTAATTTAGAAAAGAAATAGGAGCCTAGAAAGTATCTAAACAGTGAAGAGGAATTTATCAAACAACAATATTGTTGAGGAACCTACTGAGACAAAGCATTTGAACAATTTATGTATGGATAAATATTGAAGTCTCAAGAGTGAAGGACAATCTTGAGTAGTCCAGAGAGAGGACTGGCTTCATCTAGAGGCTGTTGGAGATTTCACTGCTGTTGGGACAGAAAAGTTAAACCAAGTAAACATGAGTACAGTCAGGACAGAGAACCCAGTGATTTTGGGCTTGTCAAACCAGAATGGACAGCTCAGAGGCTCAGTAAAGCCTGCTGGAGCACCAGGTGGAGGTGGAGGAGGCCCTCAACAGCAGCAGCTTAACCAGATGAAAGGTGCAATCAATGGTAATTCTCAGCTGGCCCCTACAACTAACGCTGTCATCAAGTAAGTTATTTCATTCTAGAAATCCAAGAATTTGGATTTGATGTTTTCTGCATGTTCAAACTATTATTACTGTCAATTCTTTGTTATGCTTATTGCTTACAAGAACTTTACCCTCCTCAGACCTGGAGATGACTGGAAGAAAAATTTGAAATTGCCCCCAAAAGACATGAGGATGAAAACTTCGGTTGGTACAAAATAGTTTTGTTTTTACTGAGCTGGAAGTCATCCAGTTTGGAAATAGAAATGGCAAAAAATTGTTTTTACTTGTGCTTTTGCTAGTTATGTCACTGTTCATAATGTTACCATAAAGTGTAGACTATTATGTTGTAACATAATATTTTGCTGCTATGCCTTGGAAGGTGAGAATCTGATAAGTGTTAACATTGCATAGTTTAAAAAAAAAAAATGTTTCTACATTCTTTTTGTAGCTGACAGATCTACTACTGTGCTGTTAAACAGTAACATCATGGTTACAACTTATTTTTACAGTCTGTGGTCTACACACAGCAACCACTGTAACATTGTCACTGTCCATGCTGCTTTCTGCTGTTTACTGACGCTGTACACAAATGTGACACATTGGGTGGGGGAGAATACCTCCAGAAAAGGCAAACTCATCTACTGTCATGGTCAGGGATATAATCCATGATCTGTTTAAATCTGGTGAACCAAATGTTCATTAATCTATTGTTTTTCGACTATTTCAGGATGTGACTTCAACTAAAGGCAACGAGTTTGAAGATTATTGCCTAAAGAGGGAGCTGCTTATGGGAATCTTTGAGATGGGCTGGGAAAAGCCATCTCCAATCCAGGTACATTCAGTCAACTCAGATTTTATCCCTTTTGACATCTTGACAAGAAGGTGAATTTGTGATGAAGTACATCTCTTGATGATTAAAGAGACAGTAAATGTAGTACCTACAACATTGCAAATTTTTTTTGATACATATATTCCTATATTAACATGTGACATACGACTCTTACTAAACAGTCAACAATTGCAGTCTACCTTTTTATTAAATGACTTTACTAGCCATGTTTCCATCCAATTGTCAAGTGAATTTTAAGCAAACTTTTGAAATGTCGCAAAACAGACTGCAAATCATGCACATTTCCATCAGCTGGTTTGGAGTGAATAAACCAGGCTACACCACGCATAGTTGATGTTATGCATGGCTGTAATATACAAGAAGTAGAGTTAGCCAACCATAAACTAAACCAATCGCAAGGACCTAAAGGTCAAGCATCTGAGAAAAATTGATTTTTTTTTGTCTTTGAATTTTGCAGTTTCCATCAACCTTTTCTAATGCAATACTTAAAAATGCGCATAAAAAAACGTTAATGGTAACACAGCTACGGTCTCATTCAAATAAAAATGTACAGGGTTTTCATAAGATAGGATTAACCTTGAGCCCTGGCTCCTCCAGTCTGCATGTTGAAGCGTCTTTGGGCAAGATACTGAACCCCAAGTTGCTTCAGTAAATGTATATGAATGTTACTTTGTGTTTCTGATGAGCAGTTGGCATCTTAACCTCTGCCGTCAGTGTATGAATGTGACATAGTGTAAACATTTAAAATCTAGTTAGTATTCAAGGGTTAAAAATTTGTCGGGTTTAAAATTGGCTATGATCTTATGGTATATGCCCCATCACTCCTGTGCACGAGCACTAACGTTGCTGATTTGCTGGAACAATGTTGTGTGGCAAAGTCCACACCACTTTTGTTTTCCCATTTACAGTGCCAGGCCTGTGTAGGAGTTTTTTTTTTTTTTTTTTCCCTCCCCTCAAGACCACACACACAATGGAGAGCAAGCAGACCATGAGGGAATATTTGCTGAACTTAACAAAGTGTATTGAATTACAATCAAATACTATCATTTAAGTTAGACTGAGGCAACGCAGCAAATAAGAAATGAAACTATTTTTAGCTCTGTGAGAGGCATGGCTCTGTCAGTTGATCCACTGCTTTGGTCTTGACAGAAATATCTCCCATCTCGGCATGATAAATTGCCATGCAATGTTTGTATAGACATTCATGACCCCTAAAGTATAAATTTTAATAATTTTGGGCATCCCCTGACCTTTCCCCGAGCACCACCAGCTGATCAAAGTTTTCACTTATTTCATTAAAGATATCCATATCTTGATCAGCTGGACCCATATATCACTCAGCAGCCTGAATGGGGTATTTGTGAGCCAATGAGCAGGGTCTATATATCAATAATTTTCTTTTCATACAGTTGCTCTACATGTGAACAAACTTTTGTTAGATCAGGTACCCACCCAGAAAAGCAGTATTGTGTATTAATCTATTGCTCCTTCCCCCCTCAGGAGGAAAGCATTCCCATTGCACTGTCAGGAAGGGATATCTTGGCCAGAGCCAAGAATGGCACGGGAAAGAGTGGAGCCTACCTCATTCCCTTACTTGAACGCATTGACTTGAAGAAGGACTGCATACAAGGTGACTTTGTTGCTCACAGTAAATGTCAGATTGACGCTTAACTCACTCTCAGTCGTAATGGAATGTAACATGACAGAATGCGAATAAAATCAATATCTACCACTGATAATGATTTACAGCTATTGTTGTGGTACTTAGTCACACCATTAGTTGAATGTAGAGATGAAATACTGCATAAATTAATCAGTTAATAGACAGAAAATTAACAGGCTATTTTAAGCTTTTAGTCTTTAATAAGTTTTTCAAGCAAAATGTCAATTCTGTTTTCAGCCTCTTAAATTTAAATATTTGCTGGTGTTCTTTGCCTTCTGTGACCATAAATAGAATATTAAGATGAAAATAAGAGTAATTGAACATTTATTAAACAGATTTCTGTTGGCACTGTATTTAATTCCTAAATAAAAACCTAACCCCTAACACTAATCAATGCGTCTTTAGCCACGTTTCTGCCAATGAGTTCAGTTTGTTTCACATTAAAATGGTTATTTTTGTTTCCATTGGCAATGTTGTGGATGGTACCAATAGAACCACTCTGTTTGTCTTGTTTTTTTTTTTGTGACCTCTGAAGTAACTAGCACACTGGCCCAGGACAGGTGGCGCTTGAAACACTGCAGTCCATTGATAGGTCGACAGAATCGTCACTTTTCTGTGCACAAACCTGCCATTTTTAAATATCCATCGATGGCGACAGACTCTAAAAACACTCCACGCAAAATAATTTCTATTTACTTCTTAAAATAAATGTGCACAAGTCGGCTCCATGAAGGATCGAGGCTCAGGCGTTCCTTTTGTTCACTGTCATTAGTACACACACGTATTGCCATCCGGTAACAACCCCTCCTACATGTAAGAGTCTTGTCTGCAGTGGAAACGCAAAAAAAAGATTTAGGGTTTAGGTACGGGTTTCAAGGGTACTAGACTGAAAAGTGTTTTGTTGGAAATGTGTCTTTTGGAACATGGTGTGACTCTTCCATGCAGTTCCGATCTCCAATTCTTATGATTTGATTGTTTTATTGGTTTGGAAAAGTTTTGTTCATGTGTCCAAATTAAGCCTAAACTGGCTCAGCTTTAAAAAATGTGCGAGTACTCTTATCACAAGATTGTGTTTGGTTTTCCAGCTGTGGTCATTGTGCCCACCAGAGAACTGGCTCTGCAAGTAAGCCAAATATGTATCCAGGTCAGCAAACACATGGGTGGAGTGAAGGTAATGGCAACCACAGGTGGAACCAACCTACGTGATGACATCATGAGACTTGATGAAACAGGTAAACTTTAAAAATTTAGATGCATTATTGCTGCCTTTCTATAACTTAATATAATTTATAACTTATTAACCTCATCACAAAACCACAATGAGGTGAATTTTCATTTCTTGTCTAAAGTACTAAAGTAACTACTTTGTTTAATATGGACTATCAGAAATGTGTCCTGATGACTATCTAATGAATACCATCAGTTTGTTCTTTCCAATCCCTCTCATTATACAGCTAAATTATTGGCAGACAAGGGGGGGTTGATGGTTTAAACATGGCAGCAAATCAAAACATTTCTCTGTGACTGAGTAAAGTATTGGATACAGCTTTCTATGCTGCAGTCATCAGCAACTGTATATTGCCAGAATGATAGACATGATCCTTTTACATTGTCACACTACACCTAAAGCTATGCATTTTGTTAGTGGTCAGCCAAGACCGCCTTCTATTTAGGGTAAATCCTGTATGTTACATTTATTTATTAAATATAATTTATTTTACAGTACACGTGATCATTGCCACTCCTGGGAGGATTTTAGACCTCATCAAGAAAGGAGTGGCCAAAGTCAGTCAAGTGCAGATGATTGTGCTTGATGAAGTGAGTTAATTTTTTAATTCCATTTGATCCATGTTGCCTTTTCTAAATAAACATAGGGTTGGGCGATTATGATTGAATTGACTAAGATAGATGGGGAAATATTCTGGCTCTACATGCTGTTGCTGCTGCTGGGTTATCTCGCTGAATGAGTCTGTTGCTGAGCAGCTGCTCTCACGTTCTTCGGAGGTAGACTCTTAAATTAGCATAATAAAATGAGAACTTGGCCAATAAAACTATTGCAGATATATTCGCCCAACCCTGTTCAGAATTTAAGCAGCCACTTGAGACAGCCCTCAATGTGTCTTTCCCCCATGTCACTCTGCTCAACAGGCTGACAAGCTCCTGTCTCAGGACTTTGTGGTTATGATGGAGGAGATGTTGGGTTTCCTGGCCAAACAGAGGCAGATTCTACTTTATTCTGCAACCTTTCCTCTCAGCGTGCAGAAGTTTATGGTACGCTTTTTCTCCATATTTGATTTAAGTACTTGTTTCCTTTTTTTTATTTTTTTTATTAGCTGATAAACAAATAGTGCTTGATAAATCTATAGAATAACTTGATATAACAACTTGTGTCTTCACCCACTTTGTAGAATGCACACCTGCAGAAACCCTATGAGATCAACCTGATGGAGGAGCTTACACTGAAGGGTGTGACTCAATATTACGCTTACGTAACTGAAAGGCAAAAAGTCCATTGCCTTAACACCTTGTTCTCTAGGGTAAGTGTTGCCTTTCTGAACTTCATTATCCTGTTTTAATTAATTTCAGTTGAAAACAGCACTGTAACTTGACTGCAGGCTTTTAAAACTAATGGTGGCTTTCCAAACTTTGAGCAGGGATGGTGTCATAAATACTGTTGTATAAAGGGTATTAACATTTCGTGTTGCGTTTGGTATTAGAAATGTCTTATTGGATACAAATGGCTGGATACCTCACAACTTAAACATTTCACCGGGATTTACTGATGTTGGTATTCACAATTTTATTCTCCAGCTCCAGATCAACCAGTCTATCATCTTCTGCAACTCGTCTCAGAGAGTTGAGCTCCTTGCCAAGAAGATCTCCCAGCTTGGTTATTCATGTTTCTACATTCATGCCAAGATGAGACAGGTCAGCTCAAAGTACTGCCTCCAGAAATACCAACTTTAAGACCAAAATATACAGGTGGCGATGGATGCATGCCAGAACAGCTGCTACTATTACTTTCGGTGTGCATTAAAGTGGCACATGGAGTAGACGTGCATGTGCCTCTACTTGATGTGCTGCAACAGGTCACGCCAATGCTCTATTTCTGGAGTGTTGCTGTCACTGCCAGTTTTTCCTTGATGAGAAACAGTCCTGTTGACACCTGGATAACTGGACAACATGTACAAACGGTGTTTGCACTATACTTTATTTATCATCTACAGTTATAGGCTGCCTTGAATACATTCAATATTTTCACATTATAGCCTGGTTTTGTGGCTTGGCTTATAACTTAAGCTTAACTTAACTTATGGTATAAAATATTGTTTCACAGACCATATTATTAGAGCTACATACTCATAACATGGTGGTTTTCTAAAGCAAATATATTTTACTGCAGAATCTACTTCATACGTTAACATTACATGCTACTGTAAATTGTTGTCTTTATGTGAAGTAGATGCTTACATGTACGCAAATGTAGCGTGTGAATGCCGTTTTGTCTTTTCTGCTCTTCAGGAGCATCGCAACCGTGTGTTCCACGACTTCAGAAACGGCCTCTGCCGGAATCTCGTCTGCACTGGTAAGTGGAAGAGCCATGAGCATGTGTGTCTGCTAAATATAACAAAGCAAACTGTGAAATACTCAGGAAGCTGGTCTGTTGAAAACGGCAGCTTTGTGAGAAACCTCACACCACCAGACTTACTCTGCTCCAGCTTAAGCCATTGTTTCCAATGTAGAATGGTGATGCACACTACTCAGATTTTGAAACTTTACCATTGAGCTTATAGTTAAAATGATTTGAATGTCAACCCTATTAGCTACTGACTTTTCGAAGGGTGTCCAGTCAAATTAAAGCCCTTATAAATTAAAGAAGCCCTTATTGGCTCCTTCAGGGTGAATCTGAGTTCTTGCTTAAAAGTTACATTGTGATACATCACCATTGAGCTGAGCTTATGGTACTGACTCTGTTTAGCGCAGCAGTGAGTATGGCTCATGTGTGAAGCCTAAGTCACTCAGGTGGTTAGTCAGTGTCTACTCAAAGACCTGAGAGCCTTTAGTGTGCATTTACAGAATCAGCTTTTTTGCCAGGTATGTGTACACAAATGAGGAATTTGACTCTGGATTGTGCATTGCTCACGATGTGCTTACTCATACAAAAATATAAAATTGGACACAGACTTTAGTGTAGACAACACAAATATACACACTATGCTCACTGCACTATTTGTCAATATGCCCATTTTGTTTTTGGTCAGAGTGCAAAGGATGCAGGAGTATGTACATGTCAGAGGTGGATGTGATATACATGTGCAATGAAGCATAGTTCAAAAGATGCTGGAATAAATAAGTATTTTGTGCAGGAGTAATGACTTGAGGTAGGTATACAGTGTATATACAATATGACTAACTGTATGAACAGCACTGTTGTCATATTGGCAGCTGTTATATTACAGCTTGGCAGGTAAATCTCTAACTGAAAGATTAGAGAGATCTTATCGAAATCTGGTGACTTTACTGGAATTACCCACCTAATGATGGAACAGTGGAAACATTTTTATAAGTTTAGCTTATCAGTCTGACGACGCTGATTAAAGGAAAAATAAATGAGGTGCCACAGTTAAACACAACAAGCTCATGTTGCCTGTGGGAGCACACCAAACGGCTTTCATTTAGTGTGCACTCTTGGTTTTAGTAATGGGATGTTTTTGTTCCCATGATGTGAGTTTTAAAGAGTGAAATGAAAGTGAGACTCACACTCTGCATAATTGTGATGGCACATACTTGCACCTACTTTTGTGGTGCTTTGCTGGTTAGACTTGATTTGCTCCACAGACAAGTCCATGTTTTTTGTGTGGGTGGTGACGAACAGAACTCTGTATATATAATTTTCCACATCTTTTAGTTTTTAGTGACTCATGTGGGTTGTAAATAAATTAAAGCTTGTGTTCTTGCAGTTCTTATTCTGCAAATAGTTAACATTTTGTTTCAGATGTATAGGTTTTGATGTCTTGCTTTATTTTCTCTAGACCTCTTCACAAGAGGAATTGACATTCAAGCTGTGAATGTTGTGATCAATTTTGACTTTCCCAAGCTGGGAGAAACATACCTTCATCGCATTGGTAGATCTGGTAAGAGCCCATATTCAGCCTGTTTTCTTGTACACAGACTTATTTTAGGTAGCAAACAACGATGAAACCTTAATTGTAACCTTCACATCCTCAATATCCAGGCCGCTTTGGACACTTGGGTCTTGCCATCAACCTCATCACTTACGATGATCGCTTCAACCTGAAGGGGATTGAGGAGCAGCTTGGAACAGAGATCAAGCCCATCCCTGGCATCATTGACAAGAGCCTATATGTGGCAGAGTACCACAGTGAGAGTGGTGAAGAAGTCAAGCCATGAGCCAGTGAGTAAACACAAGATGGCCAATGTGCACAAGTACTTCCTATTTCAGGATGACTTAACTATTTTCTTTTTGATGTAAATATAACCAATATCTTAACACAGTGTGCAATGCAAGAAATGTTAAAATTATGCTAATGGCAGGCATTACATTTTGCTGTGCTAGTGCTCGGTTATTGGGCATGCTAGGTCACTGGTATAGCTTACTGTAACAACTAAATGCCATTACTTAAATGGTGCTTTTCCTCCTTAGTTAAGTTGCCCATGTGTGTCTGTTGGCTTAAAAATATATATATAGCTCTATTTTTATATCTATCAAAAGCAGTCTTCAGTGCTGTAAGACAGGAAAGATAATAGACCTAAGATAATGAGCAATAACTCCAGCCAATCTAATACAGCTGTTACAAAGCTGCAGTTTTTCAGCTTGAAAGGTTGTGTTCAAGCCTTGCCCAATAGAAGCTGTTTGACCTCAAGGGTCCTTGAGCCAGACACTCAATCACTACAAACTGCAAGAGGGACATCATTTGTCACTTTGAAGAGTGTTCTGTTTGACTGTTTACTTTAGGCAGTTGTGATTAGGGCTGAAAGGTCAATAGTTTTCAAATTGAAATTGCGATTTGAAAGAACCTGATTAGCTGATTAAAAATGTAGGTGAATTATACAGGCATCTGACTAGTTTTAAACAGCAGTTACAAATTCATTCAGTTGTCCTTGTGTGACAGACTTGCTCGCCAACCACAAGCGCCATGTGCCTCCTGTTACTGCTCACAAGAGTTGGCACAGGGCATGTACACTTAACAACAACAAACGAAACTAGAGGAAAATGTGTGGGATAATGGTGTCAGCCAAACCGACACAGGCGGCGGTTTTGTCCAGCGTCAACTCGCACTGAAGTGTTTCAGCAGTGGAGCGCTTAGTCTGACCTATGTTGTCGACGTGTTGCTGACTTGTCATTTTGTGTGCTTCATCTACGGATAACGGCTCTCTGTGAACCAGTTATGTCCTGCTCTCTGCACGGCTACACATCCCACATCGAGCATTTCAGAATAAGTTATTCAGACATTGTTGATTTGTTCAGTTGTCCTTGATTTGTACCATGGTTAAGTAGCCTTTTGTCAAGTCTGTTTTAACTGTTGATATACGATCAGGAGTCTTCACAGGGTATTTTATTTTGAAATTCGACCGGATTCTCTCTGTTCATCTGCTCTGTGCTGCTTGATGAAGCTTCTGTCAATAATAGACTGGCAGTAAACATTGAACTAGCTAAACATATAATAAATAAATAATAATAATAATCGCAGTATCTGGCAGAAAAATCACAAGATTTTCCCCCCAAAATGTTCAGCCCTAGTTGTGGTGATGCTTGGACCGGCATTTCTAGAGACATCTCTAGACCAACTTAAATGTAGTTGGATAAGTTAGGTGGTTATTGGGTAATGTAGCAGATGCTGAAAAGTGTAACATTAAGTAAAATACTGTACCTGTGTTGAGCTTCAATAGTACTTTTTGTCTTGACACATGTCGTCATACCAATCTTGAATTAACCTAAATAGAAAATTTATGTATGTGTGTGTATATAGTAGTGTTGTAGTACTCGAGACCGGTCTTGGTCTTAAGACCACTTTTTGATGATCTTGGTCTCATCTCAGACTCGACCGCCTTTGTACTCGGTCTTGTCTCGGACATTGAGGACTTGGGATTTTATATCAAGACCATAACTTTGGGAATATCAATAAATTGCTCTTGCATTGTCTGATTTCTTAACATCCTAACTTTGATTTGAAGTAAAACTTATTGCTTTAAATGCAACCAATAACCCTAATTAAAGACTGTCACCCCTACCTGCGATGCTTACGTTGATTTCAGCTCTTAGTGTTTATGTGGGTGTTTTTTAATGGGAAAGTAGCTCTTTCAGATCACTTTGAGAATTACCTATGATCTCGTTTCACATTTTATTGCGTGCCATGCAATGCAGGGAACTGGTCTTGGTCTTGACTGCTCTCAGCCCCTAAAAGTCTTGGTCTGGTCTTGGTCTCGGTTTTCAAGTGTTAATTTTTCTGGGAAGTTTGGTTTTAGTCCGTTATTTGACGCTATAGAAAGGGGATTTCACGTCATGATGGACAGCTGAGCACTGCTCAGTTGAGTTGGCCCAGGTTTATGGGTGAGACCTTGATACCACGGCTCCAGCCCTGTTCGCTGCTGCGTGTACTTTGGAGGAAGCAGAGACTCGTCTATCTTTATAAATGGTCTATGATTTGAATACTTTTGACAATTCTGTAATAACAATTAGGAGTACTAATGTAAAAGGAGCTTGAGCTAATTGGCTACTTGAATACAATCTGGTCTAACTTAATTTCATTCTTCTCTCTCCCCAGATCAGTCCATCCTCCATTCCCCTTTGTACCTTTTTGTACCCCACCCCGCCCATCTTGGAGTTTTTTTTTTTTTTCTTCTTTTTTTTATGTACAGTTTGTCTGTCCTTCCTTTTTTTTGGATGCCACCATAAGGAATTTGTATTTAATGGACGCGTTTCGGAAGAACTCATTTGCCTTGTTTATAAGGCTCTGTGCTGCACCACCCCACCCTGAAGACATAAGCACCGGGAGGAAAGCATGGGACCAAGTGGAAAATATATCAGTGCACATCGTGACTATTCATATCCCACAATGAAACAAAGCCAGCACCAACAGACCGCTATATATGTCCCCCCTCCATTCTTCTCGTTTTATTTTGGAAATTTTAACAAATTTGTATCAAGTGCCTTAACAAGCAGTTCAACTCGTTCTAAAGTAATAACCCTTCATTATCAGCCATCTTGCTCACTTCATACCACACACGTTCACCTAATTGAAAACTTGTCACACTAATTTATTTTAACAACCACATAGGTGAATTCATAACTGTTTTTTGGTTGGGTCATCAGTTTGCAAGGAATGGAGATAATTAGGAGGGAGGCTGGTTGCTGGCTTAGCTGCACTTGATTCTGGCTGATAAATGAGGACAAACTTGGATTTTCCATGGACAGAGATGCTGGATTTTTTCCAAGAGACAGCCAGACTGTCCTGTTGCTCGTGAAGAAGCGTGTGCTTCTAAAAGACCCAAACCCTTTCCTCTGTCTTCAGCATCAGAACACTAAAAATGAATTAGCAGCCTCTCAACACCATGAGTCATGAGGATTCCTGTTTCGGTGGAGTTTAAGTGTAGAGAATGCTTTTTTCTTTTTGTCCTGTGTTTCACCTTCCTATGGTTGGCCATACTTAATTTTGCAAGATGTGCAGCCGACATGTAGGGTGCACCTTTCACCTTGTGTATATACCTTCATTTTAAGATTGTTTTAAACAAGTTCAAAAGGCTGGCTGACAAATTGAAAAGCTTTTTTCACCCCTTCTCTCTTGTTAGCACTGGAGACTGTTTCCTTAACTGCCAGTTTGTTTGATCTGCAATATTGGCTTGTGAATTTATTTATAATTTTAGAAATTGCAGAATTTATTAGAATCTAAAACATTTAAATGACCTTGTGCATGAAATGTTTTTGGAGGCAGAGTTCATCACTGATAATCTTTAAGCCCCTGCGAATTCGTTGGTGAGTGAAATTCTTAAAAGCCGCACTTATACAAAGATTGTTTAAATTTTTGCCCTTATTCTCCTGCTACCAGTGTTAACAAGTGTTCAGTCTAGACAGATGGCTTTGTTAAGCTTATGCATTTGAGTAATGAATTCTTTGTCGCCAGCCTTAACTTGTGAAACTGACTCTTGGGACACTCTCTAAAATCTCCAGTTAAAGGGAGTGTTGTAATTGGAAGAGCACATAATATTCTATCATGTAGTAGTACTACGTGCTGCAGTGCAGCTGAATTGGCAGAGAATTTGTTTTCTGGGGGAAGTATTAGCTGTTACGTTGATCTATGTGCTCTTTAGGCACAGCTACATTATTTCACAAATGTTGAGGAAGCGGTGGATTTATTTCCCCCCCCTTTTGAACAATGTCTGCCGAATGCATCAAAATGAAACATCTGACTTAAAATGTAGCAGGAATTCATTGTCTGTGCATTGCAAGTTAGCCGTCTTTAGTAAAGCCAGCTAACAAAAGATGCCTCACTTAAAACAACCTGAGCAGGTTGGGCTGCACCTAAGGCACAGAGACCTGGGTTCAGGCAATAACACTGACTGCACTGCTTTTGTACACTCATGATGCCCAGATGAGAGAAGTGTATATGGTGGTGCAGAACATTAAAAAAATATATATTGGCACGTAGGGGGAATGGGCATGAAGGATTACGAAATTACTGTTAGTCGGACTGCTTGTTTAAAAAAAAACGAAACATGGGCACCTCAAACTGAGTTTATGGCTTATTTCTCTGCCCTTTATTGCTTTGATGTCTTGGGGTTACGTTTTCTTTTTTGTGCATATTTATGCAACATGACAACCTTATTTTGCGTTAAGGTCCCCTGACCACTTGTTCAGCGGAAACCTTTATGCAAATGAGGTCCCCTTTGTTATGGTGAGATGCTCTCTTAACTGTTCTAATCAATGAGAAGTGTTATTGAACATTTACTTTAAGCTCTTTTAAAAAGAATAACTGGCAATGTTGACAGGTTGAAGACTTCCATTTTATTTCTCATTGGTAAGAACTGTGATCCCTGTTCACTCAGTTCTATTGTTGTCCCCTAAATACTTGCACATCTAATTTGGCTGTTTTGGCTTAATGTTTGGGTAGGAGGGCTGTTTGTTAAAAATATCCAAATTAAATTAAGCATTAGTTGAGTGAACAGGGATCTCATTGTACAGGCACTTGGCAGCTGTCTGTTTCTTGTCAGCCCACTGGCAGTAATCGCCACAGCAATTGCTTTCAAGGCTAAAATCAAGAATTCTTCAAGATTTAGTGCATTGCTACCTTTGATGCCAGTGGCTGCCATTTTGAGAATCTTAAAGGCTGAGACAAGAGCATCTTGCCCAAGATTGGGTGACTAATTGGATAGTTTGTGAAACTAAATTGTCTCATTCTTTAAGGTCTTTTTTTAAAAACTTGTTGGGTGGGAAAATTAGTGATATTGCTGCCCTGATGCACATGTCCATCCTCAATAGTTCTAACACATTTATGATAACACATCTTATGTGAACAATTTGGCCGTCCCATCTGAAGGAGGATGTGAGAGGAGTCCGTTAGGGATTTCTTTCAAAACTTGTGCATCAGTAAAATAAACATGGGGAAAGGAGCCTTTGGGCATTACGAAAACAGGAAGATATGATCTAAAAATCCAAAGTTATGGTAATGGGTATAAAAAGGTTTGAAAAAAAGTTGTCCTTAAATTTGGATTTTTTTTTTCTCCAAATGTTCAAGTGGAGTACACCTTTATTTAAAAAGTTGCCAAATTTAAGTGAAGAATTTAAAGCCTGAGTTTATATTTTTATTTGATGGAAATTTGGTCGTTATTTAATTGGCAGATTTTTCAGTGGAGCTAATTTTACAACGGACTTAAGTTTAAAGGATGTCATGATTATTGGATACGATTTGGAAAATTGTGTTAAATAAAGCTCACTGAAATTTATTGTCTGAAGTTTGTTTTTCTTGGCCACCACTGCAGTGTCCTGTTAAATGCTCTTTTGAAAGCTAGGTGTCAGTATGTTGCTGCTGTTCCGGCTTGATATAAACTTTGACCTGGAAGCAATCCTCAGATTGCAGACTTGGTCATACTCTAGGTTCAGTTTATACAGTCTTTGCTCAAGATGCATAACTTGATGGTCTTTTGCTTTTCATCATTGGCTTTTTTCACCTGTGTAAAGACTGCTTTTCCACCACCATGTGACAGGTGAGATAAAATGACTGGAAGTGGTGTTTTTGGTATGCAGGACTGACTGTATCGAGAGCACTTTCTTTGTTCTGGAACTGTTTAACTAGAAGATTCTGGTTGATTTGTGGCTGTAAAGGTGACCAGTTAAACTGAAACATGTCTCTAGGCAATAGAATTAAACTGAATCCACCACCTGCAGCAGCCAGGTTTCTTAAATTGATGTTTAAACTCCTAGCGTATGTATTTGTCAGCAGACCTTTGGTCATGCTTATTTTTTAGTGACTAATTTGGACTCTGTAACATGATGATTTATTGTGCTACACATGACCTTTTATCATATTATTTAATAATTAACTGTATAAATTAATTTCAGTGAAATATACTGCACTGGGCCCATCTTGCATCAGATACAGAAAGCTAAACTGTTTGATGATGACAAACACTTTGTTGACATGAAGCTGAGGGAAACTCCTGGTAAGTCAAAAGTCAGTAAAGTGTCTTTTTTTTTTTTTTTTTTTTTTTTTTTTTTGGTCAACTTTGTGGCTACTTGTCTTTTTCTGCAGATGTTGTTTTGTCAGCTTTTCGCAACCTTTCACATGAATCCCCAAACATGACTGTCACACCTGCCAAACTGCAGGAGTTCCTTAATAAATACTTTGAGGAACCAGGGACAGAGTTGGAGACGTGGACACCACCAGACTGGCATGACAAGTGAGGTCCAGTTATTAGAGGTCTCCTGCTCCGCTAGTATTGTTTCCTTTGGAATTCTTTAAATTTTTAATTTTTTTTTTTAAATGCAGGCCAAAGTTCCTGGGACGAATAGTGGACCAAGAACTACGTGCCTGGGCTGAGAAGATACACAGTCTGTGGAAGTCTCTTGGCAGAAAGGTGAGTTGATTAGTCAAATGGCAGAAAATTAATTGCCAACTATTTGATAATTTAATAATTGAAATCAGTGAATTTTTGCAATTTTTTCTTCAAAAAAAAAAAAGGTTAAACAGTGTCTCCAATGTGAATTTCTATCATGGTTGAATATCTCTTTGTTTTGGTTGGAGTAAACAAGCTATGTGAATGTCAAATTGGGCTTTAGGAAATTGTGATGCTCATTATTCCTGAAATTTTGTACACCAAATGATCAAAACAAATCTGACTTATCAATGAAAATAATCATCAGTTGCTGGCCTTATAATTCAAATTCACATTCCTGTTGCAGTATATATTTCCAACCACCCACGTGCATATATAGAGTCCAAAGACTTGAAATGAGAAAATTCTCCTCTAGATCCGCCCTGGTGTTAAAGATCACCCAGAGCTTTACTCGCTCATATACACGCCATATCCTGTTGTCGTGCCTGGGGGGCGCTTCAGGGAACTCTATTATTGGTGAGTGAACAATGACGCCTGTCTCTCAGCTGTCTGGCTGAGTCTCACTGGGTCAGAGTGAGATCACAGCTAGCTCCAGCCTGCTACAGCCCACTGAGGTGCTGTGTGCAGACAATGACGTGAGGCCCTCTGCCCAACAGGGATTCCTACTGGGTCATCAACGGGCTCCTGCTGTCAGAGATGACAGACACGGCCTATGGGATGATTCAAAACTTTATCTACCTTGTCAACAGGTGAGCCCTTAAAGCACCTTTCATCTTTTATAGCACAAAAAGTCAGCTCACTGCATGTAAATCAGGGGGCTCATTTTGAATGAGTCATTAAGCAACCTAAGTTTATCCCTTTTTTTTTTTTTTTTTTTTTAGATATTGAGCTTTCTTGTTGGTTTCAAGATTTGTGGAATAAGATTTTTTTTACTTTAACTCCTACAGATATGGCTTCATTCCAAATGGTGGGCGGATTTACTATGAAAGGCGCAGTCAGCCGCCATTTCTCACTCTAATGGTGGAGAGCTACTATCAAGCAACCAAGGATAAAGAGTTCCTCAGGTGATATTTAGACCCGAGCTGATGTCCTGCCAGAAAAATTATCGTTCTTCAGCTGCCTCTTGTCTCTTCCACAGTAGGAAAAAGGGCATATTAAACATCAAAACCTCAGTGCTCGTGTCTCTCTGTGCCTCTGGTGTTTTGTTTTTTCCTAACGTGCTTAATATCATTACACACAAAAGTTGGGGTGTCACATTCTAATTAAGGACTGTGGAAAGTAGTCTATATGAAAACATTACTCTCTGATGTCTGTACAAACTTGCATGGTTTAGAGCAGCTTTACCAGTTCTGGAGCAGGAGTACCGATTTTGGATGCAGAACCGTTCTGTGGTAGTGAAAGTAAATGGGGCAGAGCATGTACTGAACCGGTATCATGTGCAGGTGGGCTTACCCAGGTATGTCTGAAATCTAGTGAATTATAAAAGCACAATTCATATATGTGGGTTTTGCAGGGTGGGCTTTCACCAACAAGTCTTCTGTTCTTTCTAGGCCTGAATCCTACTCAGACGATCTGGAATTAGCTGAAGGACTCACTGATGGTAATAGCTTATTAGCCTTCATATTCTTGGTGGCTGAATGAATTTGCCTTTTATGAGCAGGAGAATTACCCTGCTATGGCCATTTCATTCCCATAGAGAGAAAATTGCTCCTAAGCAGAAAAATAAGAGATTCCTCTGAATTCAGGGATCATCTGTGCAAAACAAATTTGCTCTGAAAATACCTCAGTACCACGTAATGAATATTTAATGTGGAACACATCTATTCTTTCACATCCCTGCTAAACAATTTGACTGCACATTGTAAGAAAGGCTGTTGGAAGGAAAAATACTCACTAAAATGTTGAATTCCCTTTATGTAAGGATATATTTTCTTAATAACAAATAGTCATGTACATAAAGTTATTTCTTCCTCTTTGGAAAATAAATTTAATTGTCTCAAGCTTTTGGAAAATTTTATAAACTGAACAAATGTTGTTCAGAAGCTGCATATCTTTTATTTTTTCCACATCCAATTAACAAACAGAACGTACATGAATAACGATTACATTTTAAATGCCGATTTGTTGTGGCTGTACTTGCAAATTCATGTTTGTTTTTTTTTTTTTACCCTTGCCCCCAGACCTTAAGGAGCAGCTATGGGAGGATCTCAAAGCGGGTGCAGAGTCTGGTTGGGACTTCACATCACGCTGGTATATAGATGGTGACAGCCACAAAAACAGCACCCTCAGAGAGACCCGCACCAGTCAGATCCTGCCTACTGACCTCAATGCTCTGCTGTGCCTCAATGAGAACACTCTTGCTTCATTTCACAGGATCCTGGGTTGAGTATATGAGCAGCCTTCGACCTTGGAACTAACTTTGGTCTGCACACTGCTTTTAGCTCCTAAACTGGTGTTACATAACAGTGATGTGCTGTTTCCTGACAGGTGATGGTGACTCAGCTGCACTGTATGACCACGCTGCAGCCCGCAGACAGGAGGCAATAGAGTCTGTGCTGTGGGATGCTGAGAGGGGAGCCTGGTTTGACTACAGCCTGGTTACACGCTCCAAACACTTTGAGTTTTACCCCTCCAACCTGGCACCTGTTTGGGCACAGTGCTATTCTCGGCCAGAGATGGGCGAGAAGGCAGTACAGTATCTGAAGGTGGGTGTTTCATTGTGTCTCAATTCACACACTCAAAGAAAATCAGAGAATAGATGATGTTTATTTAAAGGGTTGGTTCAAGCAAAAGTTTCAACAAATAGGAGGGGCTTAATATTACATTTAATGGTATCTAGGCATGCAGATACTGTAAGTTTGGTTTTATTTTAGCAGGAGGTATTTTTCTGCCTCAAACCCAATACAGTGGAGGTTTACAGACTTTTGACTGAGATAATCCAAGCATTGAGAAAAAAAGCTGTAGTTCCAATGAAAAAGCCAAATTTCCCTTCACCCCCATTGTTTTGGAGTAGCAGCAGAATGTCAGACAAATATCTCAAAACCTGGACAAATAAACCCAGAATTGTTAAGGGATAGTGAGAAAATACAACCAGCGACCACTTCATTAGGTACACCTGCACAATCTACTACAATTCAATACATGCCATAAATTCTACCTTTTACAAAGATCTAGTAGGATGTCACATGTGTTTTATGAACTGCTACTTTGCTCCAGCAGATGGCACACGCACTACACTGGTTTCATACATGCATGCTCTTGCTTTTCGCATCTCCCCCTCCAGAGGAGTGGTGCTCTCCAGTTCACCAACGGAGTTCCAACGTCGCTGAGAGAATCTGGGCAGCAGTGGGACTATCCTAATGCATGGCCTCCTTTACAGCACATGCTCATTGATGGTAGGTGGGGGGGGGGGAAGCAATTACGTAGTGGTAGAAGGTTGGTGCTTTCTTTTGCTCTAGTTTTGTTCTCTAGCACATGTATTTGAAATGAAACAAAGCAGGGTAAACTACTGACCTTCAGGTTTCATTCAAGGTTGTTTGCATCCATGCCCTTAACTGTTCCCTAAGGAGTTTTCTTGAAAACAAAAGTTACATGTACATTGAGTGTTACTCACCAAAATTTGTGTGTATCCTTGAAGTAAAACAGACATGCTTAATGAATTTCTTCTCATAAAATGCATGCAAAGACAATTTTCCTAAACTTTCACACCAGCATTGTGATCATCCACAGTTACTCACAAGCAGTCAGTTGTCAGTCAGTGGAATAGTGTGAACCCTTGGCAGGTTTGTTGTGGGTCCTTATACAGTACAAACAGACTTGTTCCACAAAGCATAGTGCAGCCAGTGGTCAAAAACAAGATGAAGGGGGAATAAAGTAATTATACAAGCTAC